TTTAGTCCTTTGTAATTTCAAAACTAGCGTTATTGTGTATGGATATTATAACCGACGACAAAACAAATGAATTAAAAGAGTTAGTTTAATAATTTTAATAGTATTTGTATCTACAACAATTAGAGATGGAGGAAGTAATATATCGTGAAATTCACCCTAGATATTTTGAAGTATCATAAATTTAACTACAGAGAGTACGTTGTATTATCGATAAAATATTGTTACGAACTTACGGTGTATGTTACTAAGATGAATAAACTTACCTAGGATAATTATAATTGACATGCTTCCTGTATTACGAATACAAGGATCTTCTTTATTTGTACTGTTGCGGCGATTGTAGCCTTTAGGACACAAGCAATCATAACCCCCGTCGGTGTTGACGCAAAATGCTGGTGATTTACACAAATGCTTTCCTTTACATTCATTAATATCTGGATAAGATATCAACCAAAGAATCAACTATATCATCATACTAGGAAATTAAATAAATCTTGAATGACAACTATCATTTTAATATTAGACAAATAATTACGGATAGAGGAAGTACATTGTATTTCATAATATTAATTGGTGTTATGGGTAAAAATATGTAAGGTCAAGTCAACGGCAGTCAGCATAAGTCAGCGACGAAGACATTTGTTGACGAAGCTTTAAGGACGACGACGCCTGCATTCTCAGCGGAAGACCAAGTCTTCTAACGACCTCCTATTCTTTGGGAGAAGATAAACTTAAGACTCAGTCCTACCTCGCTCTCCCAGTTCGTTGGAGTTCAAAACAGAAGAGAGGGAATCTCCGCAACTATCCTCCTAAAATCAAGGGCACGATCCTATCTCCTTGCAACGGCTAGGGCATGACCTAGCAAATCGTCTATATAAGGGTCGTAGCAGCAACAAGCATGGCATCAGTTCTAAGCCTTCATCCTATATCACAAACTTGTAATTCAACATTACCTTTTGGATAGTGAAAGTTTGGTAGATCCTCATTTTACCCGCGGTTTTTACCTTCTTTGGGTTTTCCGCGTCACCAATTCCTTGTGTCATTTACATATTTTTTCTTCTTCGCCTCACATTATATTTCGCTTAGTTGATCCGTAGCCTAGATTTTGATATTCAATCCCACTTAACAAAAATTAGCATAAACAATTTGGCGCCCACCGTGGGGCTACAACTAGGTAAAATCAAAAAATTTCTCACCAAGCCTTCAACATGTCAGCCGACGAAATGACCCCAGAACAGTTAAAAGCTGCCTATGAGAAAGTTCAAGCCGATCTCGAGGCTGCTAGGGAGTCTAACGAGCGTCTCAACAAGGAAAAAGAAGCGTCAGACTCCGATGCAGCCGCTCTCCGCCAACAATTGGAATCCACCCAAAGCAATCGTCGTCACCGGCCGAGGCAATTAGACCTAATCCCCAGAATGCCGTCGCTCGATATCATTGAGTCCCCCCATGATACTGATACTGGATCTAGTGGCGAGGAAATGGACGTGGACCCCCCTATCAAGAATGCTGGGCAAGGAAGCATCCAGACTCTAGGTGACGACCAAGGTAACCCGCCGCCCGATCGAACTGAAATCCTACTCCAAAGGTTGGTTGCCTTAGAAAAGCAGAACTCTAGGGTCTTGTCAATGATGAAAAAGATGCCCGGCGTGTCGATCCCCGTCCAGCGAGAAGCCCCTGATGGATTTGCAGCTACCCCTTTCTGCGAAGAATTGGCCCTGGCCCGGATTCCCAGAAGATTGTCGCTCCCGACGTTTACGTCGCTATATGACGGAACGACTTGTCCAGAGCAGCATGTCGAGTACTACAAGCAGCGAATGTGGCAAGCTTCTATCCCGTTCAATTTGAAAAAAATACTTAATGACGCCACCCCTCCTGTCGAAGCCCAAAACTAACGAACCTTTGCAGCTTTATATTGCCGTCAGTGCTGTAGCCGTCAGCGCAGTCCTGACAAGAGAAGATGACGAAGCTGGGGAGCTTCCGGTTTACTATGTAAGTAAAACCTTGCTCCCGGTCGAGGTAAGATACATTTCCTTAGAGAAGTTAGCCCTCGCCTTAATTATTGCTGTTAAGAAGCTGAGACATTATTTGAAACCCACCACGTAGTGGTGATGACTAACTACCTGCTTAAGTCTGTCTTAAGAAAACCAGATCTGACAGGGCGTTTGGGTAAATGGAGCATCTCGTTGAGCACGATGGACATCGAATACCAACCTAGGAAAGCAATTAAGTCCCAAGCTCTCGCAGATTTTGTGGCTGACTTCAGCCCCGACTTACAGGTTATAGCCGATAAAGAGCTGGAAGAAATAAATAGCGTCCAAGGCAAAGGCAAATGGGTCTTATTCGTCGATGGATCATCCAATCAACGAGGAGCAGGCCTGGGAATGGTGCTAAAGTCGCCACAAGGAGACATGATAGTAAGGTCTGTATCTTGTGATTTTAAAGCAACTAACAATGAACAGAATATGAAGCTTTGATTGCAGGAATGACCGTCGCCAAGGACTTAGGCGCAACATCCTTGGATGTGTACATCGACTCTCTCCTCGTCGTTAGCCAAGTAATAGGTTACTTCGCAGCAAAAGACTCCAAAATGTCAGCATACCTCAACATAGCCAAAGAAAAATCTAAACACTTTGATCCTTTTACCATCTCTCAAATTCCAAGTGATCAAAACGCCCAAGCTGACGCATTAGAAAACCTAGCCTCCGCCCTAAAAAAACCCGCCTTCACAAATATCCCTCTAGTCCATTTACAAAAACCGTCCGTATCCTTTAAAGAAATCCTACCAGTCGACAACGTCAACAACGACGGCGACTGGACCAGACCTATCATAGACTACTTGACCAAAGATATCCTACCCAATGACAAAGCAGAATCGCGAAAGTTAAAATACAAAGCCTCCCTATACCACATCATCGACGGAGTCCTATTCCGTAAATCGGCGTCGGGGTTATCCCAAAGATGCATCCAAAAGAGCGAGCAACAGTCCATCCTCAGCCATTTTCACGATGGGATATGTAGCAGTCATGTCGGAGGGAGAAGACTAGCCAAAATTGCAAAACGACAAGGGTACTTTTGGCCAACACTTCATGAAGACGCAATGCAGTACGTGACCAAATGCGATAGTTGCCAACGATTCGCCAACACCGTTCATAAACCATCGGAGCCCCTCCACCAGACATTATCTCCGTGGCCCTTCATGAGGTGGGGAATGGACATCGTCGGGAAGCTACCCGCGGCGCCAGGTCAAAGAGTATATATGTTAGCACTAACTGACTATTTTTCTAAATGGATTGAAGCAATGGCTTTGAAACAGGTGACAGATAAAGAAGTTATTTCGTTCATATGGACTAACATTATATGCAGGTTTGGAATTCCATCGGTGATCGTTTGTGACAATGGATCACAGTTTATTAGCGACAAAACTCGTTCCTTTTTGCAGAAATTTCGCATAGGGTTGAGGACGTCGACACCAAGGTATCCACAAGCCAATGGACAAGCTGAATCCAGCAATAAAGTAGTCATGGAAGCCATTAAGAAAAGGCTGAAGGCAGCAAAAGGCAAGTGGTCTGACGAGCTCCCAGCAGTCCTATGGGCCAACCGGACGACGCCGAGAAAGGTAACGGGGCAGACGCCCTTCTCCCTTGTCTATGGATGCGAAGCTGTTCTGCCAGTCGAGGCCGACTTTCCAACATCAAGGTTCGGACTCATGACAGAGGAAACACTAGTAGAAAATATCAAAAAGGCACCCCCTAATTGGCACCGGTTCAGTCCAAACCGGTGCCAAAAATAGGCTACAAAATTGGTGGGAAGGTAAAAGGCACCGGTTCACTTCAAACCGGTGCCTAAAACATAAAGGCCACCGGTTTGAACCGGTGCCTTTGTGAACCGAACCTTTTAATTAATTTTTTTTAAAAAACCGGCCTTATCTCTCCTTAAAACTCTAAAGCGCACCTTGCTCCTCTATCTCCTCTCAATCCGCCTCTTTCACTCTCTCCTCTCCATTCTCTCTCCTCTCCCTTCTCTCTCCTCGATCTCTCCGTCCCATTCACTTCTCTTTCTCTACAACAACAACAACACCACTGCAACAAGAACAACACCACCACCGCAACAACACCACCGCAACAAGAACAACACCACCACCGCAACAACACCACCGCAACAACACCACCGCAACAAGAACAACACCACCACCGCAACAACACCACCGCAACAACAAGGGTTTCACCACCGTAACAACAACAACAACAACATTAAGGGTTTTTTGTATCAATTTTTTTGCGTTTCTGGGTTTCAACGGGTTTTTTGTTTCAATTTTTTTGCGTTTCGGGGTTTTTGTTTCACTTCTCTTTCAATTTTTTTTGTTTTCTGGGTTTTGTTCGATTAAAATCAGATTGGGTTTCTGGGTTTTTGTTTTTGCGTTTCTGGGTTTTTGTTTTTGCGTTTCTGGGTTTTTGTTTTTGCGTTTTGGTTTTTCAAATTGGGTTTCTGGATTTTGGTTTTTCAGATTGGGTTTGAATTTTTTTTTCAATTTTTGGGATTAAATTCTGGGTTTTTTTCCGAAGCTTAATTGTATTAATGTTTTTTTTTTAATTAATTGGTGCAGATTCATATATGAAATCGAAGCAGCAAGATACTGGTGTTTTTTTTTTTTTTGATTAACAATATTGTAATTTTTTTTTAAATTTATATCGTAATTTTTTTTTTTGTATTTATATGTTGTAATTTTTTTTTATTATGTATTGCAAATTTGCAAATTTTCGATGATATTGATGTTGCAATTTTCGAAGATATTGTCATGTATTTTAGACTAATTAATTTTTAAGTGGAAAAAACAAAAAAAAATTATATTTTTTGGCACTTTTGGCACCAGTTAATCGGTGCCAAAAACAACAAAATTATTTTTTTTGGCCATTTTTGGCACCGGTTAACCGGTGCCAATTACGAGTTTTGGCACCGGTTCGAACCGGTGCCTTTTAATAACCCTTTTTGGCACCCCCAACATAGGCACCGGTTCAAACCGGTGCCTTAGGCCGGGTTTGAACCGGTGCCAAATTCCTTTTTTCACGTAGTGAAAGGAATCAAGAGGAAATGGAAGATAATATGGACGCAGTTGAAGAACTAAGAGAAGCAACGTTAATTAGAATGGCAGCACAACAGCAAATCGTCGCTAGGAGCTTCGACAAAAACGTCAAGGCCAAAACGTTCCAATTAGGAGACTGGGTACTAAGGAAAGCATTCCAGAATACAAAGAATCCGGCCGACGGAAAGCTCGCTCCCCCATGGGAAGGGCCATACGAAATTACTCAAGTCATCGGCATATCCTGTTCCACGAAGTTGGAACGTAACCCATCTCAGAAAATACTACTTTTAGGCAGACGGTCAAAAGTGTTCGTCGACAAAACGGTAATGTCTAAACTAAAATACTCTGCTTATTTCATTCATTCAAAGTTTTTATTACGACTAAGCGTACTGACTTAAGCATCGGAGGGCCGTTGGCAGCAATGACCCCTACCTTATCCTCCAAATTCTTGGCCTGTTCCTTCAGCTGATCCTTGAGTTTCTGAGTTTCCTCCTCCATCGTCTTCGACTGGTCTTGTAGTTTCTTTTCCAGGTCATCCACCTTCTTCTTTGTCTCGTCCAGCTCCTTCTTGGTCATCTGAAACACATTGACGGCAGTTTTGCGCTGAGCCTCACTGTTCTTAGCAGCACCATCCAGCCTTTGCATCTCCTTGGCTAGCCCAATCACCCTATCCCTCAACACCAAAGAGTTTTGCAGACACTGGCCAAACACATCCCCAATAACAAACTTTGAAGACAACTAAATTGATAAGTAAAAACGAAACCAAAATGAAAGCTTACGTATAAGTGAACAGAAGCCGCTTCAGATGCTATGTCCAAAACGGACGATCCGGCTAACATCTCCCTAGACTTGGGAAACAACATTTGATTCAGGGCAGGAAACAAGGAGCGTTGATCATCCTTGCGACGATCCAAGAAGTTGGCTGGAAAACGCATCAAGATGTTAGGAGATGGGGGCTCGTTGTTAGTCTTCTGCTGCTTGCGTGGAGGGGTCACCGACATCGTAATAGTTCCCGACTCGTCGACTGTTCTCTCAGGTGGCGGAGTCAGAGAAGGTTCCACCTTCTTGGCCACTGGCGCCGGTTGCTGCTCTTGAGATGCCAACCCTCGCTTCCTCCTCATTCGCAAGTCAGCCTCTTGTTGAGTAAAGCTTCGACTTCGACGAACGCCTTGAGCGGCCGATTCTGGCAAAGCATTAGAGGTCGTTAATCATAAAGCAATGACATAATTATGACGCAATGAAATCAAACAACTACTTACGAGTCGACATTGTTACTTCGGAATCTTCCGCCTTGTTCGGTGTGCTCAACGGAGTACTCTGCTCTTGCCCTGCTTGGTCACCCGTCGCCTTCTTCTTTTGCGCAAACGTTCTTCCTGAAGGGTTGATGGCGAGGAACTCTTTTACCTTCGACGAAGAGGTCTCCGACGACTCAAGAAATCCCAAATCCAACTCTGCATTATGAGAAAAAGAATCAAACCATTTTAGCTAAAATCAAACCATAAGAATACGAATGCCATAGAAAAACTTACCCTTCGTCGGCCATCCCTCCGTCAACCACAAACCGTCGTTACCTAACGTCACCCTCTTTACAAACAGGAACCACTTCTTCCAACCCCTGTCATTCACATCAGTATTCAAAACCAACCGATCTCCTTTTTTGCACAAACTGACGAAACCACTTTCTACCATATTTATCTCATACCCTGCCGCCAAATCTTCTTAAGTAAAAGCATCCTCCTAATCTTTGGTCAATTCCACTATCACCGACAAAATCCTCCAGCTAGACGGCATTAACTGCCACGGACTAATGCCTAGAACCTCAAAGAAAGAATGAACTAGGGGTGGGAAAGGGAATTTAATCGTCGTTTCAGCAAAAGGGTATCTAAAGAAAACAACGAAATCCTCAGGACAATCCGCCACCGTTTGGCCGGGCCCCGGAATATAAGCAAAGGTAGTGCCGGGGAAACCCGCCATCTTGACGAAATCACTCGTCATGTTTGGAGCCATCAACGACCTAGACTGAGACTCTGAATTCTGCTGTGAAACAATTGTTCCTTGTTTTTCAACAACGCGAAGAGAAAACCTAGTTCTAGTTTTGGGAATTTTGCTTGACATTGCACCTAAAATTGATTAATGCAAAAGGAAGTAGAGTATATTACCTGGAAATTGAAGATGCTGGAAGTTTGAAATCGCCGCCGCACGCTGCCACCAAACCACCGGAAAAAACTCGCAAAGGAAAGAGGAATTGAAGAGAAAAGAGTGGAAGAGAGTAGAAGTTTGGGGAAGCGCGAAGCGTGTTGTAGGATTAATAAAGGATGAAATGACGGTTAGAGTAAGGAAGTGGGAGAAGTTGAGTAACTGCTCTAAAGAACTTGCGTGTCAAAAGACGAAATCGCCCTCTAGATAATTTGAAAATCTTTCGGTTATAATTTCTGTCATTTCTTATTCTTTATTTTTTCTGTCTTGCATTTTTTGTATTTTTATTTTTTTAAGTAATTGCCAAAAAGTGTAGTCGCCCACGTTTTTAGCAATTAGGGGCAAATTGTTATGGATAAAAATATGTAAGGTCAAGTCAACGGCAGTCAGCATAAGTCAGCGACGAAGACATTTGTTGACGAAGCTTTAAGGACGACGACGCCTGCATTCTCAGCGAAAGACCAAGTCTTCTAACGGCCTCCTATTCTTTGGGAGAAGATAAACTTAAGACTCAGTCCTACCTCATCTCTCCCAGTCCATTGGAGTTCAAAACAGAAGAGAGGGAATCTCCGCAACTATCCTCCTAAAATCAAGGGCACGACCCTATCTCCTTGCAACGGCTAGGGCATGACCTAGCAAATCGTCTATATAAGGGTCGTAGCAGCAACAAGCATGGCATTAGTTCTAAGCCTTCATCCTATATCACAAACTTGTAATTCAACATTACTTTTTGCATAGTGAAAGTTTGGTAGATCCTCATTCTACCCGCGGTTTTTACCTTCTTTGGGTTTTCCGCGTCACCAATTCCTTGTGTCATTTACATATTTTTTCTTCTTCGCCTCACATTATATTTTGCTTAGTTGATTCGTAGCCTAGATTTTGATATTCAATCCCACTTAACAAAAATTAGCATAAACATTGGCTGATCAAAATAGTATACAAAATAGTATACAAGACGGGTCTTAAAAAAAATACATGTATATACTCCCGGCCTCCATTTTTATTTTTATTTTTAAGTATTACAATTTAGCGAGTATAATATTTTAGGTAAATTAATTGAATTTAAAATAATATGTGTAGGTGAGGTAGTTGAAATATTTTTAAAAAAATCATGAAATAAGCCAATCGATGTAATAATTTCTTGAAAAATAAAGGATGTGAAATGAAAATAAGTAATAACAAAAGTTGTAGGGACTAGTGAGTTTGGATGAATATCTAACCATGAGCTAGATCAGAGTTATCACGTTAATTACGAAAAGAGTATAACACTTTAAATAAAAAATTGAAAAGAAAAAAAAACAGTCGTATTTGTTAAGTGTGACACAGAGGAAGTAAGAAAGTGTGCATTTATTTGAGGAAGGAATGAATAACTATTTTCAAAAAATAACAAATAGATTATATGATAGATTGAAATTATACCTTGGCAACCATGAAGGTAGGGGTTCCCTTGGAACCCAGGTTTACATTGGCAGCGGTAGCCTCATTCGCCCGGCAAGTCAACACACGTACTATTTTCCTTGCATATGTAATCTGGCATCCGGCTGCTTGCGCAGTGTGACAATCTTTTGTTCCAATTGACCAATTATAGACCATTGGAAGCTCTAAATTGTCAACATACGCATAATTTTTGGGTAGATACTCTTTTGGAGAAGGCATTGCATCATTTGCCACCACAAAAGCAATGCTACATGGGTTCAAATCTACCACATACGTGTGATTGTGAAAACTCTTGGCTTGTACACTAACGTTGTACACCCCATTTGGAATTAAGGCCCTGCAACAACCAATTCCAAAGCACTTATTACCCAAACTATCTCCTTGTTCCTCATTGCAGGTAGTCATGCACCCCGAATGGTATTGTGTTGATGAATTTGTAATACCTACACTATCGAACCATACATAGGTGTTGCAACTAGAGGTGGTTAATGGACAGGGTAGCCCAATGATAATAGGGTTAGGGCCAAGTTTATAAGGCTTTTAATGGACGGGGCTATTAATGGACAGGGCCCTTATTGGGTATGGTCAATATAGGGCCAACATGATTTTCCAATTTAGTTGATAAAGAAAATACATAATGTAAAAATAATTATATAGATTAACTTGTATTCATATGTATTTAATAATGGCTTTGTCCAATATTTATTTTAATTGATATTTTGTAGGCCCGCCCATTATCGACCCGCGACCCGCATTGGCCCGACCCTATATTGACCCTCTTTGACCCTGACCCGCAACCGACCCTGACCTGACCCGCCCAATAACCAGGTCTAGTCGCAACCAATGGCTAGCTACAAGTGAATTTTGAGTGGTTGAGACAACAAATCTACTCATTCTGATAGAGGTATTCCGTTTATAATTCATTTCTTCCGTATAATTAAAACAATCATATGCAACAAAGTCACGTACCCAGATATTAACCTCTAGCGTAATATTGGTTACTTCTATCCCATCGCCATAAATTAATGTTGGAGGACTTGTAGTTGTGTTACAAGTGACATTATAAAAATGACCATCTATAGGATGCTTGTAGTGACAATTTCCCCCAATACCAAACGGGTATGGTATTTGGGTATCGCCACATTTCTCAGGGCAATTAGGCAGGGCTATAGCTATTTGTGAGGAAGTGTCGGAAACAATCTATTTGGAGGCTAAACGGCAACAATTCCACCATCATATCGACGAAAAGGAATAGTCCCCTATAATATCCCAAACTTCTCAATACCCCTTTCACCATTTTTGTGGTAAATTAATTAAGGACTTAGGCATATGATAGCTTAGCTACTGTGACATATAACATGCATTATATTTATACGATAACAATCCTCTAGTATAGAATGAATGGTCCAAAGTTATTGGAAGACCCCGTCAACTAAGTCAATGCAATTTGGTGAGTCTTGCATGGGTCACTCATCATGTACGTATGGTCCTTCAATGCATGTCTACATCCTTGTGCAGCTAGCGATTCAATCTATTTTACTCCGTTTATTTTTAACGTGTTGTCGTGTTGGTTGCGGCTTTCTTGCTTACTTCCTTGCAATTATTGACAATGAACTTAACTTTATTTGTCTCATTTCTTTCCATTACTGAATGAATAGTGAGTACTGAGGATCTTCTAAAAACTGGGAGGAAAGCTCTAACCATTTTGACTCACTCTGACTGGCCAATACTCGCTACAATAAAAACTAATCATATTTTAAATATCAAGACTCACTAATATATATATACCATTAACAAAATGTATAAAATACTTCGTAGCATTTATAAAGTGTGTAAAATAGTTAGATTTTTAATAGGAAGAGCTAACAAGCATAAGTTATCCTAGAGCGTTAGATATAATTTTAACTTATTTTCAAAAATGGAATTTGAGAAATTTGCATGTCAAAATACATGTTAATTGATATAAATAAGGTTTATTTCAATCTAAGATTTGTACTTTTAGTTATCTTATCTAATACCACCAAGTCGTTCATTATTAATTTTATTATTGAGGTCCTTAAGGATCATTAATTTATCAGATAAAGCATTAGCATCATTACAACATTACTTATTGTTTCAGGGTTTTCTGATGTCCTGCGGGAGAGTTACAATTCCGAGACTGAAACCAGACGTCTGTACCTGCAAAACAAACGGATGCTCCGGATGATTGGAGATCCGCCTCCGACGGTCAAGTTAGTACTTGATTAAGGAGTAATTAATGCGGAAATTAAAGTGATTGGGTCTCTCTAGGTGAGAGTGTTTAATGTGTGTAATCTGCGTTTTTTGCGTAATCTCCCTTAATGAGGATTAAGGGAGGTATTTATAACCTCGGGAAACGTGCCAATCTAGGTTTAGGTAAACCTTGGGCTGATTGGGCTTCCCTCGGAAGTTGGTCCTAGGTGACCGGTTATCCCAGGTGTCATGGGAAGGACACGTGTCGTGTCGTAATTGGTCCATAGTGGACGGATCATTGCTTGACACGTGGCAGGCTCCTATTGGCCCATGTGACGGACACATGGCGGAACCTGATTGGTCCACTTGTCAGATGGCGATTGGTGGGGAAAAATCCCCTAATCATTTGCCCCTCACAGGTGGCACGTGACTGGTCACGTGTTACCTGTGACAGGTATCGCCCTGTAACAGGCGACGGCCTGCTACAGGTGTCACACGGCGAGAGGCCGAGAGATTCTCCCGCCAAAATTTTGAATTCTGGAAGTGACCCTTCGCCTTCTCACTTCGCCTATATAAAGGAGTGTTGACTTCGGTCATTTTCACACTTGAAAACTTTGTGAGAGAACATTCGGACCCCTGAACTTGCTCTGACATTTTGGACCCTTTCTGCCTACAGCCTGCTCTGACAAGCCGACTGCAAAGGATTTTCAGAACTTCATCAATCGTCACTCGTTCAGGTAACCGTCGGTTCTCTTACTCTTAATTTTCTCTTTACTTTATTCTTTTTTGAAATGGCACCACGGAAGCACACGACACGACCTAGGTTAGTGATCAGCCGGTCACCGGGGACGGCTGAATTTAGGACTAGGAGTGCCGCCTGCCCTTTTCTGGACCCATCTTTGCCCTTTATACAAAGTCCGACTGTATCTGTGTCTATGCAGAGCATGGCCAGAACAAAAAAGACTGCCAGGATCTCAAACTCAAACGGCTCCTCCCACAGGGTGCCGATTAGTGAAACATCTGACCAGGCGCCAGATGTGGAAGTGAAACAAAGCGGCTTGAAAGCCGGCAATTTTGAGGGAGGAGTCAAAGTGACCCCTTCCCATTTTATAGTTGACAATTCTACATTCTCTCCTGCTCCTTTTAAAGGAGAGGAGGCGGGCCCCTCCGGGAGAGGGGAGGAGTCGTCCTCTTCGGACTCGTCAGAGGACGATTCCGAGTCTAGCTCTTCTGGCCATGCTTCCCTGGACACAGAAGAGAAAAACAGTCGCCTACAAGAGGCGAGGCTTTCTCACACAGTTGAGAAGGGGGACGATTGGGCGGAGCCATCCACCTCTCACCGAGAGCAAAATACCCCTTACTACTGCACGGTACCTCGGGGCCGGATCACGAACATGCAAGAGAAAGTGGAGAGCTTTATCGCAAACCACACAATGGGCCCCGACTTTTTAGTGTTCGTGCCGGATCCAGAAGACACAGTCGTATGGCCGGCTGGTACCAGTTATGATGGCGCCTGCTTTGGCTGCTACGAGGCGTCCATCAAGGCTGGGCTGCGCTTCCCACTACATCCGGTTGTTCAGCGGATCTTGGATGGGTATGAGTTGGGGCTATGGCAGTTAGCCCCGAACTCCTGGGTCAACGTACTCGGCTATGTGGCCGGGTGCGAACTGCACGGGGTGGAGCCGAGCTTCGAGGCTTTCGCCCACATGAACTACCTCAGCCGGACCCCTAAGGCAGGCGGTACCGGCTGGTATCAATTGACGAGCCACAGGGGCTACCTCATGACGAGAGGTAATGCAAACAAATGGAAGGACTGGCGGAGCACCTTCCTCATCATTGAGAGTTCAGACACAGAGCTGAACAAGCGCTTCAACAGGTGGAACAGGAATCCGCCCCTTCTTGCAGGCGGCCGCAGCATGCCGCATGTTCCCCCCAAGGCTAAGAAAGAGATCCTAGATAAAGGACTCTTCAAAGTAGAGTCGAAGGTGAACTCTACTTCAGGGGTACGAGAGCAAGTACCCCTGCACTGCGTCCCGAGCTTCAAATGGCTCTACGACGAGTACTTTTTGGCCGCTTGTGGCCTCAGCAGTCGGTGCTCAAGAGGTAGCCGACCTGTCGAATACTCTGCTGTTCCGTGCATTTCTTGTTATGACTTTTATTAACTTTGCTATTTGTTTTTGCAGCGGACGCCATGAGCAAAATTACCGCCTCCAAGACTGCGGCGGCCATGTTGCGGGCCTCCATCATGCAACAGTCTTCAACCGACTC